TATGTTGCTCGTCCATATCTATATCATGCAAGTTCCAATAAAAATAGTTATTAAAATATAGTTATCTATGTATGCATGTGTGTGAGTTTGTGTTTTTGCTATAAATTATTATAAGGTATTTATATACCTTCATCAAAAGCAATGATGTCCTGATCGGCTTCAACTTGTTCCGGATTATTAATGCCTGATCATGCATTCAACCTTTATTACCCATGAGTATGTAAGTAATGGTAAAATGATAGGAGTAATATAATGAAGACAAGTTATAACCTTGCTGAACATCTTTAATTGCATTAGATAATGATCGAAGTGCCTCTTTTCCTACCACTGATTGCTTCTTTTTGTTCATTCCAAAGAGCTTGGCAAGTGTAGCCGGTGGTATGAAGTTCCGCTTTTCTGCCCGTTGTTTCACTTGTGCACTTCTTGTCTGAAATTTCAAACAAAATAGCCAGTGATCTAGATATTTCTAATAACATAATAACTAATAATAACCAATAAAAAAAGTAATTGGAGTTGACTGCTAAGATACCCTTCTTGCAACAGGAATAATAGGCACTCTTTCATAGTTATCTTCCACTGGATCATTATCAGCAGCTTCCTGAACACTAGGTTTAGATTTTATCTTCTTTTTCTTTTTAGTAGTGCTATCAGCCAGGCTTGTCATTGAAGCAGCAATACGTTTTATACCCAAAGATTTCATTATGAACTTATTAGCTTCAATATTCTTGAGCCTTTGCTGTTCATACTCATTCTGCCGCATCAGCTCCTGTTCTACTTGTATATTTCCTCCCACTCTTGACATTAAAGCTATTAACATAAAAAGTGACTTTAAAAATAAAAGTATAAGTAATGAAATACATGTATGCTCAACTAGAAACACCCATGAAAATCGACATATTCAAACATAAAAATAATATAACATTAGAAATCCTGCAGAATAAAAAAGAAACAGAAAAATAAAACACCAATAACATATTGATGTATGAAAAATCACAATAAAAGAGACAATCGGACTACAAAGTTGTTCTAATGAGGAGCAAAATATTTATGGATATGTATCATCCATATTATCTGTTTCATTTGACTTCTCAATAACATCGTAGAAGTTTCTTGGCTTTGTCTTAATCACCACCTTCCAATTCGGCCTCACAACGTCATCAACATAGAAAATCTGTTCTGCTTGAGATGCAAAGACGTAAGGATCATTAGTCAGCACTTTAGCTGTATTGATACTAGTGAAATCAAAACGGTCAGTAATTATCCCTCGATTGTGACTGTGAACATCCCACCAGTTGCATTTAAACAATGTCACACGGTTCCCTCCAATGTACTGAACTTCTAAAATTTCTTGCAAGATCCCGTAATACTCTATATTTTCTGTTCCACTTTCTCCCTTGACAACAACCCCACTATTTTGTGTTTCCTTCCCACTTTCAGACTCTACTGTGCGAAACAAGGAACCATTAACCATGTAGCCATTCACAACAGTGATTGCACGATTTGGGCCATGTGCTAGTGCTACTAAGTGTTTCATAGAACTTGAGTGGTTTTCCTTGGATAGTGTTGTCATCTATAGATAGGTGAAAAAATGTATTACAAATTACAAATATTAAGGAAAATGAGACAAAATTAAAGCATGTCCAGTTTTCCATGACAAACTTACTCGATCTTTAAACCATAGAATGAATTTCTTTTTTTGAATGGATGTGTTCATTCTGCTGATTGCAGCTTCTCCTTGATATTCACTACAATACACATATTTAATATTAAATACGGCTTAATGCAGTGATTTAAAAAATGCTTTAGAAAAACTTACTCCATAAACGGTTTAACTTCATCACAATTGTTCAGCACAAAAAAGTGGATTTCTTCCCATTCACTTGTTGTCACTAATTTAGGAGTCACCTTCCCCAATGCCCTGCCTCTTGTCATAAAAATAGACAGACAATCCGACGATGAATGCATATGACAATCATCTGAGATTCTATCTTTCACAGTAAATTTTGTTTCTATATCCTCCATATATCTTGAACAAAAAGTCAAACACTCCTCTAAAAGATATCCTTCTGCCATTGAACCCTCAGGATGACCTTTATTGCGAACATACCCTTTCAGTTTACAAAGATACCTGTTACATTAATAAATAAAAGAAAAAATCAAATAATTATATATTTGTTATACTAATAGCATTAAGTAACAAACAACACAAATTTAATTTTATATTACCTCTCAATGGGGTACATCCAGCGATAAGGAACAACTCCAGCAATAATAGCTTCTCTTGCAAGGTGTATGGGCAAATGTACCATAACAACAAAAAAAGAAGGTGGAAAAATTCTTTCTAGCTCACAAAGTATAACAACTATCTGCTTTTGTAGTTGTTCTAACTCATCAGTCTTTAATGTTTTGGAGCATAACTCTCTAAAAAAGGCACTCAACTGAATAAGTGGTGTGGACAAACTGCTAGGCCAGTTACGTATTGCAAGAGGTAACAAATGCTTCATTATAACATGGTAGTCATGGCTTTTTAATCCCGAGAGTTTTTTCTTTTTAAGCAAAGCATTTTGTGAAATATTAGAAGCATAGCCATCAGGAAACTTCACACTTGTCAAAAATTCGCAAAAATCTTTTTTTTGCTTTGAGGATAATGTGTAAGGGGCTGGAGGAATCTTCATAGTCCCATTTATGTGCTTTTTTAGATGTAGTGATTTTCTTATATTCATCTCCTCCAAATCAAGACGTGCATTCAAATCATCCTTGCTTTTGCCTTCAATATTTAGTAAGGTTCCAAGTATATTTTCGCATACATTTTTCTCGATATGCATAACATCCAAGTTATGACGTAATAGAAGACTACTCCAGTATGGCAGCTCAAAAAAAATACTTTTTTTCCTCCAAAGTTGTTCTCTCTTTCTCTTATTAGTGTTCCTCTTGATTGAGGTCGATGTAACTTCTTCAACATTCGCTAATTGGTTCAGAATTTCATCACCGGATAACTCCTTAGGTGCTGGTCTTAACTCAACCTTCTCATCAAAGCTACTCATGTCCTGTCTCCATATGTGATCAGCGGGTAAAAATCTGTGATGGCCCATGTAACAATGTTTGCCTCCGTTTTTCAACCAATAAGAGCAAGTCTCTTTATTACATGATGGACAAGCAACAGCCCCGCTAGTTCTCCAACCAGAAAGATCACCATACCCCGGAAAGTCACTTATTGTCCATAGTACAGCAGCAAACATTTTAAATTTTTCTTTCCTTGAGCCATCATATGTTTCAATACCAACTTCCCAAAGCAGCTTCAACTCCTCTATTAACGGTTGCAAGTAAACATCTATCATTTCCTTAGGTCCATTAGGACCAGGAATAAGCATGGAAAGAATTAAGGAATGTTGCTTCATGCAAAGCCATGGAGGTAGGTTATATGGGATGAGAACTACTGGCCAAGTACTATGCGTAATATGTCCATTTCTAAAGGGACTAAACCCATCACTTGCTAAACCAAGGCGAACATTTCGAGAATCAGATGCAAAGGATGGGTATCGTTCATCAAATGATTTCCAGGCTTTAGAATCAGCCGGATGTCGCATTACCCCATCATCAATTCGTTCATCTTGATGCCATCTCATATTTAAAGCAGTTTTTGAAGACATATATATTCTCTGCAACCTAGGGATCAATGGAAAATAACGCATTGTTTTACAAGGAATCTTTCTAGTCTTAGATTTTGAAGTAGGAGCAACACTAGTATGTGGTGTTGTTTTCCATCTACTAGCATTACACTTTACACAACTCTCTACATCAGCATACTCCTTCCAAAACAACATACAATTATTAGGACATGCATCAATTTTTTTGGACTCGAGTGATAATTTTTTTATTATCTTTTGAGCATCATAAAATGAATCTGGCAAGGTGTTTCCCGAAGGTAATGCTTCTTTGAATAGTTCAAGAACCATTCCCAAACTTTTATCGCTTATTGCACCTAAGCATTTTATGTGGAATAACTTAAGCAAAAAGGATAGCTTTGAGAATTTCGTACACCCTGGATATAACTCTAACTCAAGATCACTCATCATTTTATAAAACTTATCAGCAGATTCTGGAGGGTCTTTGTGACACCGCTCCCGAACGTCCTTGAAAATTTGATTTAAAATTCAAAGTTTATGTATTGGATTTCTGGTTCCCAAACATTTGTAAAACGATTAATGTTTTACGTAATTAATGATCGATTTGTGTACTGTTCGAACTCGTATATTAGTGTCGGGCATGCAAATACCACTTGGGTCTTATTAATAAATAAAAGAGCCCAACATTTTCCAAATAGTGATACATAATCTTTCAAGACAATCCGAGTAAGGTCGGACGGCCCAAACGTTATTTTGAGCCCAACCTGCTAAAATAGCAAGTATTCGAGAATGGCGTTCTAGACCCACTCGGGAGTGACCCACACGGCTAGTAGCCCAATAATATGTATGACAAATGTCAAATAAGTGATAGGATGATTAAAGAAGAATACAAATGCCTATAACCCCACCTTTGGCCTTATTGAGCTAAATAATGGGAGTAGGATTTTCCTTCTATAATATCTATCAAGTAAATTATTGGGATGAGCCTACACATATTGGAGATCAATAATGTGATTTGAGAAGTTGACTTGTTCTAAATAAATTAGGATGAGTACAAAAAGACATCTTTTGACAAAGATAAAGCAATAGGACCCATTTTCCCCATTTTTGGAAGTATTGGTAGATAATTTGGATCCCAAAATGATTGGGATCAATTGGGAACCACTCCACATGATATTAGTACCTGCAAGACAAATAAAAATGGGTTAGGAGACTTACCTTGGCCGGCCATTATGGAGAAGAGCTGCACATGACTTGATAAGAATCAAAGTTTGGGGCCACCACTCTTATTTTCGCACAAATTGGTGTGCTGTTTGTCTCCTCTCATTATAGGAGCTATCCTCAACCAAATAACGTGTATGAGGTGTCCTTGGATAGCTTTTGAAGTCTATTTTTATAATTGAGTGGTCTCAGTTCGAGAGGAGAAGTCAATCATCCAAAAATCGATCTGGAACGAGCAGAGGTCTGTGAACTCGAGCTGTGAGAGTGCTGAGACTGTTTGGCCGATATCTCGAGTTTTACCAATCCAATTAAGGCGTGTGAGATACCAAAAGAAAGCTCTCAAGACGAGGAATCCGTGAAGGTCTGGTTTGCATCAATCGGAGTAGAGGAAGGCTTCCAAATCGTCCGAGCAGAACGAGACCTCGCAGGGACGGATTTACTCTTCTAAGTGAGTTGTTAATCCCAAAACCTTTCCATTCATTTTCCAAATGATATGAACGATTGGTGGGACTATTATACACTACTCCAAGTGTATAAAACATCCCTATCAAGTTATTTTATTGATGTAAAGGTTAGATACTAACCTAGATGCAAACATTGGAAAACTAGGAATCGAGTTAGCCGGAAAACACCCGTTCTAGGGGCTGTTTTAGTATCAACGATTCGGGGTTGAAATAGCAACTTGAGGAGGCTGTTTAGCACCCATTTTCAAGCAAGGAACTAGTTCCCAATCTTCCTTGGCCGAGGCTTTAGCCATTGGATCGAGAAGGAAGGTTTTAAAGCTCATTTGAGGTGAGGATCGACATCTAGTTGCTTACAACTTGTAGGTTAAGCATGAGATTACCTAAATGCTTAAATAATGTTTTCCATGGATTATGATGATAACCTATTGATGGAATATTGATCTATTTTCCAAAGAATGAAATAAGAAATGATTTGGTAAAGTATTGATGAAAATGGAGTTAAATGAACTATTGTGTGAAATAGGCATTTTACTCATGTGTGAATTGTGTAGATACATAAATGATTATTTATGTATTACATTGAATGATTAAGTTGCTGCTACATATCTCTAAATATGTAGGGTTTTACAAATGGAATATATGATTGATAAGAATAATCTTAATAGTATTGAAATACTAGTTAATGATTGTTGAAATTGTTGAAGAATTGAATCTAAGGATTTGATTGTAATTGATGAACTTGATTGTGATGCAAGTGACTAAATTGATGTAATGTGATGCTAAGACCATGGTTGGGCAGTCCGTAGGGATGTCCCAAGATAGATTATTGATATTACAATTCTAGGCCTAGTGAGTGCTTAGGAATTGGGGTCTATGCCAATGTAAGGAGATGTACTTGAGCCCGTGCTCATAGAATTGCATTGGGTAGACATGATGAGGTGATTGTGTGCATGGGGATGTAGTCGAGTTGGACTCGAGAATGCACGGTGGAGTAGTTAGCTTATGTTAATAAAGGTGCATGGTGATGTAGTCGAGTTGGACTCGAGAATGCAAACATATGTGTTAGGGTTGGACCCTATGTATTGTTGTGACTAGGGGTCACGGGATTTTGGGGTATGTTTGATAAACAAACCTTGGGCCTACGGGCCGACTACTTGACTTTATATATAAAGTAAGTATATTTTAAAACGGGGTAACTTGGGGTTACGGCCTAGATTATATTATCACCCTATTTGAGGGTCTTGTGTTTGAAATACTTGTTGTATATCTATTAGATGCCATCCACACCAGCACTTTATAGCCGTATAGAGTGCTGACCCCTTCGGGGGCGTCCCACCACCATTTTTCAGGTTGAGGCTAGAGCTTGCTTCCTGTGCTCGTTGCTCGAGGGATCATCTAGGAGGGAAGACTTGGTTCGTGCTTCCTCCATTCAGTTTTAAACATTAATAAACATGCTCATGGATTTTTACTTTAGAGCCTGCGTGCTCATGTTAGCCACGTGTGGCATTTGTTTTCAAACTATGTTTTCCGCTATGTATTCGATTACTTATTATGTTTGTTTATGGATGGCTTACGTGTGAATGATATTCGGGACGCCTTGTATAATATGAATGTGTTGGACTGCGGTTGACTATTCGTATTGTACGGCGGGTTGTTGGCGTGTCCGGGGAGGTCCGGGGCGTGACAATTAAGTTGGTATCAGAGCCTTAGTCCATAAACTTCATAATGAAGTCTCAAAATTCTCTTTTTGAAAATATTTTGAAAACCATGAGCATAGAAGTTTTGTACTTGGAGAGCTTTTGGTACTTGGGTTGCAAGGTCTCTAATTGTTAAGATGGTACCCTTAGCAATTGGTATGGCGGTGACTCGAGCCAAAATGTGTCTTAAGTACCTATCCGTCAATTGACATTTGATACGAGTCTAATGACTCTTTCCAAATTTCTTTCAGAAATGGACGGTGGTGGCAGGATTACTAGGAGAAACCCGACGGGCCGTGTACCAGTGGAGACTGGACAGGGCAGTCGAAGGACCTCTAGGGCGTCTAGGGGAGCTGGCCGTGGAGGCCGATCACAGACCGTGAGTGACGGTCATGTTGACACAGAAAGTGAAACCTACTGGTCCTATGAGGACTCAACTTACCAACCGGAGACCGAGCCGGTTGAGACCCCTTACGAAGGGGATGACGATGATATAAGTGATGAAGGAGGGGAGAATGACTCCCTAGCCAGAATCGAGGCGCTGCTCCAACAATATCAGCGGGAGCGCGAAGAAAGGAGGGAACGCCGAAGGCGCCGGGGAGGGCGAACTTTGGGTGGGGCTTCAAGAGGAAGAAGCCAAGGCGACTCTAGGGCCCACATTGAACCACATGGGGGCCGGGGTGATGGAGGTCCGATCATAAGGATCTCAAAATTTCTCAAAGAGGCGAGAGACTTGGGGTGCAAACCCTTCAACGGAGCAGGTGACATCTCGGTTGCCGCGGAATGGATCAAGAGGCTGAACGAAGCAGCCCTTGATATGCAACTCACCCCCGAGTTTAAGCTAAGGGTGGCGGTGAGGTTGCTTGAAGGGATGGCATCCACATGGTGGGACGGAGCCAAGGGAAAGTATGGCAACACGGTGACTTGGGAGAATTTCCGACAGGAGTTCTTTGCCCAATATTATTCTGATTTTGAGGTGAACGCCAAGAGGAGAGAGTATACCCTCCTGACCCAAGGGGGCAAAATGACGGTGAGGCAACTTGAACACAAATTCAGGGAGCTCGCGGAGTTCATACCGGAGTATGTGTGTGACGAGAACCGGATGGTAAATCACTTCTGGGATGCCTTAGACCTGGAGGTGCGTGAGAGGGCAACACAGTTGCCTAACATGACTTTTAGCCAAGTGGTCGAGCAAGGGTTAAAAGGAGAGAAAGAATGGGAGGAAAGAAAGTTGAAGAACGCCGAAGAGGCAAAGAAGAGGAAGTGGGAGAACCATGGGCATCAAGGTCCTAGCAAAAAGGGGAACCATGGGGGAGGGGGATCTTTTCGGACACCCCCACTGCCACCTAGGGGAAGTCATGGCCCGGGCGGGCAATCACAAGCCTCGGGGGTGACTCGTTGCAAGAATTGCAAGAGGAACCACCCGGGGAAATGTCGTGACCCTCCTAGATGCTACCAATGCGGGAGCACCGGTCACATGAAGATGAGCTGCCCACAACTGGGCGGGACGAGGGCATCAGGGCCAAGTAGTGGTAATACCGGGACACGGAATCAAGCCGGGACTTCACAAGCATCCAGGGGGCAAGGGGGAGCAAGCGCAAGCAACGCGCCGTCCGTGAATCAAGGAAGGACTCAAGCTAGGGTCTACGCGATGACGGAGGCGGATGCTCAAGCTAACCCGGATTCCGTTGCAGGAACACTAAAGATTAATGGGAGATGTGCGAGAATCCTCATCGATACCGGGGCGCAACGATCATTTGTGAGTGAGGCATTCGCCGGGGGATTCAACGCACCCCTGGTACCGATGGCTCAAGCCCTATTGGTATCCACACCCCTAGGGGAAGACATCGAGAGAGATAGCCACTATCCATCGTGTGAGGTGGAAGTGGAGGGCCAAAACTTGTCGTGTGATTTCGTGCCGCTGAGTATGATTGAGTTCGATGCAATCCTGGGGATGGATTGGCTTGAGAAGCATCATGCTAGGGTCGATTGTTACACGAAAGTACTTGAACTCGAAGGCAATGAAGGGGTAACCTTACGCTTCGAGGGGGATAGGGCAAAATCCAATAGTTGTATCATATCCGCCGTGAGGGCTAAGAATATGATGAGGAAGGGGTGTCACGCATATCTAGCGTATGTGGTGGACAAAACCAAAGAAGATACGAGCATTGATGATGTTAGGGTAGTATGCAAGTATCGGGACGTCTTTCCTAAAGACTTACCGGGACTTCCACCCGATAGGGAGATTGAGTTCGTGATCGAGGTCGAGCCCGGCACCAAACCAATCTCCATACCGCCATACCGTATGGCACCCGCTGAACTTAACGAGTTGAAAACCCAATTGCAAGAGCTTTTGGATAACGGTTTCATTAGACCAAGCCACTCCCCGTGGGGAGCACCAGTTCTTTTTGTGAAAAAGAAAGATGGGACACTTCGAATGTGTATTGACTATCGTCAACTGAACAAGGTCACAATCAAGAATAGGTATCCTTTGCCTAGAATTGATGACTTGTTTGACCAACTACGAGGGGCAACCGTGTTTTCAAAGATCGATTTGAGGTCGGGTTACCATCAATTGAAGATTAAGGAAGACGACATACCAAAGAGTGCTTTCCGCACAAGGTATGGACATTTTGAGTTCCTTGTTATGTCGTTTGGGTTGACAAACGCCCCAGCGGCATTCATGGACTTGATGAACCGAGTATTCCATAAATACTTGGATCGATTCGTGATTGTGTTCATAGACGACATTTTGATTTACTCAAAGAGTGAGGAAGAGCATGAAGAGCACTTGATACTCGTTCTTGAGACACTACGGGAGAAGCAACTTTATGCCAAATTTTCTAAATGTGAATTTTGGCTAAAGGAAATTGGCTTTCTCGGGCATGTGGTTTCGGGATCGGGAATTGCTGTTGATAATAAGAAGATAGAGGCCATTACCGAATGGGAGAGACCAAGGAATGTCAAGGAGATCCGTAGTTTCCTTGGATTGGCGGGCTATTACAGAAAGTTCGTGGAAAAGTTCTCTGTTTTGGCGTCGCCGTTGACGAAGCTCACTCGAAAGGGAGCTAAGTTTATATGGGATGACAAATGTGAGAAAGGATTCATCGAACTAAAGAAGAGATTGACCGAGGCACCGGTACTTGCATTACCCAAACAGGGTGTGGGGTACGATGTCTATAGCGACGCGAGCATCCAAGGGTTTGGGTGTGTGTTGATGCAGGAAGGGAGGGTAATTGCCTATGCTTCACGACAGTTGAAGAAGCATGAGGTAAATTATCCTACCCATGATCTGGAGCTGGGAGCAGTGGTGTTTGCACTGAAGATATGGAGACATTATCTCTACGGGGAGACATGTCACATATACACTGATCACAAGAGCTTGAAGTACGTGTTTACTCAGAAAGAGCTAAACATGAGACAGAGACGGTGGATGGAGCTGATAAAAGACTACCATCTAGTGATAGAGTACCACCCAGGCAAGGCAAATGTGGTGGCAGATGCTTTGAGCCGGAAGAGCTCGTCTGGGGCATTGCTAGCTAATTTGAGGGCATTAAGAGCCCAACTGGAGGTATCCAGCGATGGTGCCTTATTGGCACGATTTGAGGTGAGACCTACTTTACTTGATGAGATCAAGAAGGGTCAGGAAACCGACGAAGAAATTATGAAGATCCGGGAACGCATGCAAGCGGGACCGGTGGAGGACTTCAGAGAAAGAGATGACGGTCTCTTATTATTTCGTGACCGAGTGTGTGTACCGGCAGATGAGGAGCTCCGAAAGTCCATCTTAGAGGAGGCTCATTCATCGGCGTATGCCATGCACCCGGGGGGCACGAAAATGTACCGTGACTTGAAAGAAAGTTACTGGTGGTCTGGGATGAAGAGGGAAATAGCCGAATACATTAGTCGATGCCTTACTTGTCAACAAGTTAAGGCGGAACATCAGCATCCAGCAGGCTTATTGCAGCCACTTTCCATTCCTGAATGGAAGTGGGAACACGTGACTATGGATTTCGTGGTAGGTTTACCACGGACAATCAGGAACTATGATGCAGTTTGGGTCGTTGTGGATAGGCTCACAAAGAGTGCACACTTCTTGCCTATCAACACTACCTACCCACCTGAGAGGTTAGCCAAATTGTATACGGATGAGATCGTGAGGCTGCATGGGGTCCCAGTGACCATTGTATCCGATAGAGACCCACGATTCACATCACGTTTTTGGCCGAAATTTCAGGAGTCTATGGGAACGAGGTTGAAGTTCAGTACTGCTTTCCACCCACAGACGGATGGACAGTCTGAAAGAGTCATACAGATCTTGGAAGACATGTTGAGGGCTTGTGCATTGGAGTTCCAAGGAAGTTGGGACAACCACTTAGCACTTGTGGAGTTTGCCTATAACAACAGTTATCAGGCAAGCATCGGCATGCCTCCATACGAGGCATTGTATGGGAGAAGGTGTCATACACCGTTATGCTGGGACGAGGTTGGCATGGCCAAACTCGAGGGTACTGAGTTGGTTGAGGTCACCAAATCAAAGGTGAAGTTGATTCGAGAGAGACTCAAGGCGGCTCAGGATAGACAAAAGAGTTATGCAGATAAGCGTCGAAGAACCTTAGAGTTTAAGGTTGATGACGAGGTATTCTTGAAAGTTTCTCCTTGGAAAGGGATCATTCGGTTCCAAACCCGAGGAAAACTTAACCCACGATATATAGGCCCATTCAGAATTATAGAGAGGGTTGGGGCCGTAGCATATCGTCTACAGTTGACTCCTGAGTTGGAGAAGATTCACAATGTATTTCACGTGTCCATGCTTAAGAAGTATGTGCATGATCCTTCTCATGTGTTGGAGAAGCCGCCCGTGGAGGTACGTGAAGATTTGAACTATGCCGTGCAACCGGTAAGAGTTATTGACAGAAAAGTGAAGAAACTCAGGAGTAAAGAAGTTCCAATGGTTAAAGTCCTTTGGAAGAGTGACCGGGTCGAAGAAGAGACTTGGGAAACAGAAGCTTTGATGAGGAAGCAGTATGCATTCCTATTCGAGTAGAGCCGTGAATTTCGGGGACGAAATTCCTGTTAAGGGGGGGTGAACTTGTGACACCGCTCCCGAACGTCCTTGAAAATTTGATTTAAAATTCAAAGTTTATGTATTGGATTTCTGGTTCCCAAACATTTGTAAAACGATTAATGTTTTACGTAATTAATGATCGATTTGTGTACTGTTCGAACTCGTATATTAGTGTCGGGCATGCAAATACCACTTGGGTCTTATTAATAAATAAAAGAGCCCAACATTTTCCAAATAGTGATACATAATCTTTCAAGACAATCCGAGTAAGGTCGGACGGCCCAAACGTTATTTTGAGCCCAACCTGCTAAAATAGCAAGTATTCGAGAATGGCGTTCTAGACCCACTCGGGAGTGACCCACACGGCTAGTAGCCCAATAATATGTATGACAAATGTCAAATAAGTGATAGGATGATTAAAGAAGAATACAAATGCCTATAACCCCACCTTTGGCCTTATTGAGCTAAATAATGGGAGTAGGATTTTCCTTCTATAATATCTATCAAGTAAATTATTGGGATGAGCCTACACATATTGGAGATCAATAATGTGATTTGAGAAGTTGACTTGTTCT